GTCATTGATAAGGTAAATTGTGAGCACTGTGTGCTCTGAGATGCTGTGCAGTTTTACTCCGTGCAACAAGAGAAGGACACCCTGTCTGGTAGGAGTCTTGTCTGAGTGAAAACAACCACTCTAAGTTCCCAGATTCTGGGTAATGAGCCACAAGCAGCTGTGCAAACTGGATCATGGTGCAGCTCAGTGGAAGACACCCCTCCAAACCTCTCCCCCCAAAACAGGTAAGGAGCCACAAAAGGCTGTCCGCAAGAGATTCCGTTGTCCAGCTTCGGACAACCTGCAGGGGTCATTGGTGGGAGACCCCTGCCTGTTCTCCCCTCCCACAGGAAGAGGCACTGCCCAAGGGCTGTAACTGGTTCTCAGGCTGGTATGAACCCTGGCAAGATCTTCCCATGGAAAAGCAGCCTGAGCCTGGTTTGGTGCTGCAGGGTCCCCGCCCTCCCCCTAAGGCTCTGCACAAGTCCAAGCCTGCATAGCCAGGCAGGGTGCCTGGGCTTCAAGCTTTTGCTCTAGTCTTTCCCTATGTTCTCTTTTAGAAAGATCAGCATTAGGATCCATTCTTCTTATGGAACACAGATTGCACCCCCCACGATAAAAGGCTCCTTTTGACAAGAATGGTCCGAGCCTAGTGCGGGAGTGCATACCTGTAATTCCAGATCTAGGAAGCGGGGCAGGAAGATGGCAAACTGGGGGGCAACCTCAACAACTTAGTGCCCCTGTGCTAAATACCAGTTAGAAGAGCTATAGACGCAGTTCAGTGGTAAAGCACCCCTGGGTTCAAGCCCAGACACACACATACACACAGTCTGAAACACATCTAGCTTTTTAAAAAGCCTCTCAGTTAGGTTCATGTCTGTAAAACCAGCACTTAGGGAGGCTGAATCAAGAGGATTGAAAGTTTGAGCCCCGCTTGGACAACTTCATAAGTCAATAAGACCTGGCCTCAAAAAGTAAAAAAAGGACTAGAGATATAGGCCCTGGGTTCAATTTCTAACATGACAGACAGACAAACAACACTGTCAGCTGGTGAACCTGTACCATTTTTACCAGGCCCAGCCAGCATCAAGAACTTTCTCAAGTTCAATTTCATGACACGGCCGGAAAATGCAAGAAACTGAGATAGAAACAGAAGAGAGCTTAAGAGAAACCAAACTGCTGTTAGCAAGCACCAGATGACTCGGAGGAGAGGGTGGCTCCCAACCAGCAGAAACATGAACTGCCTTCAGGTATTCTATTTCCCCTCCTCGACAAATGTGCAGATTTACTCCATGAATCACTGGGAATTAAAAAAAAGAATCAGGTGAAGTAGCTTCAGTCATGAGATTAAAAAAGTTAATCCATAAAGATTGAACTATTTTTAATATTCAGTGGTTTCCCGGGTCAGGAAAGGGTGGCTTGGCCGGGCTGCAGCAGCCACTAAGCACTTCATTTTCCTCTTGAAGGTCAAGGCCAGTGCTGCAAAACTGTCCATGTGGGAACTGCATGCACACCATGAGGCGCCTCTTGTTGCTGCTCAGAAATAACAACATATTTAAAATGCACACTGGAAAACCACGCTTATTAAGGCAATGTGTGTGTGTGTGTGTGTGTGTGTGTGTGTATGTGTGTTGCTAGGGATTAAACCCAAGACCTTTGAATTGAGCTGCATCTCCAATTATTGTTTTTATTTTGAGTCAGGGTCTTGCTATGTCACTAAATTGTACAACTTGAGATTGAACTTGCAATCTTCATGCTTCAGGCTTCCAGAGTGCTGGGATTACAGGTGTGCGCTATCAGCACCAACCACAGATATTTTACTAAAACACCAAAGCAATTTAATAGGAGTCTCCAAAGCTGGTGCTGGAAGGGCTACACATTCTTACAGAATGAAGGAATCCTGACTCCAGTCTCAGACAATATACCAAAAAGGTCATTCACACTAATCACAGTTGCGCCTAAACACTGGCACAAGAAAACCTCCAGAGAATATACAGAGGAATGGCTATAATTTGGGGGTTTCTTAGGACACAGAAAAATTAATTAGACTTTGTCAAAGTTAAAAAAAACCTCTGCCCAGGAATGGGCACTATTAAGAAAGTAAACAGGCCATATATTGGACTAAATATTTGTAAAGTATCTGACAAAGGACCAATGTCCAGAATATATAATAAACTTCTACAACTTAATAACAGAGACACAAACAGCCTGATAAAATATAGGCAACAGAATTGAGCAGGGGCTTCACAAAGGAAGGTAAACATGATCAGAGACATGAGTTAGACTGCCAGGAGTCACTGCACACTCAGGATGGCGACACCCAAGACTCACACCACCAGCAGGGCCAGGAAAGGAGCTGGAGGGTGTACAGGCCGCCGGTGACTTTATAACTGACAACAAGCACTTCGGGAAAGATCTGAGTTTTTTATAAAACAAGACCCTCCTTGGTATGTACCTACTCCTTAGTATCTATGCCTCCAAATTAAAGATTTTTGTACTCAAAATGAAGACTGATACAAGAACATTCATAGCAAACATTAAACTCTGGCTAATAACAAGCATGTTCTTTGCTTTTTTTTTTTTTTTGGTTTTTCTCCGGTACCGGGAACCGAACTCACGACCTTGCGCTTGCCAGGCAGGCACTTTTGCCGCTGAGCTAAATCCCCAGCCCAACAAGCATGTTCTTGGGAGGGGGAATCCACTGAGGCTTGCAATTTAGATGCATCAGAAAATAAGCTGACGAATGGATGGACAGAGGAGCAGCGGAACTGCTTTATAGCCAAGCAATTATGGCAAGAGGGTGACTGTACCTACAAGGCCGAGTAGCTGGGTGCTCACTGAGCACGGCTCTTTACGTTTTCTCAACATTTCCATGATAAAATGTTGGGGGGAAGACTGGAGAAATGCAGGTGCAAAGCTATAAAAATGAGCAAAGCCACAGTGGTTAACTTCCCCCACCCCCTAAATGCAAGATCATGAAACTGTGCTCAGGGAGACAGAGTTCCAGTCCCATGACTGCCGCAGGTTTGGCTATAATATTCATGAAGACTCCAAACCCAAGCCCCATGCAGAAATCGGGAAGCCAGAGGCCCCCTTTAGGGTTTTAAGCTCACAACAAATGTCAAGAAAGCATGGTACGAACCAGGTCTGGTGGCACATGCCTATAATCCCAGCTAGTCAGGAGGTTGAGGTAGGGGGATTACAAGTTTGAGGTTAGCCTGGGTAACTCAGTGAAACCTTGTCTCAGGGCTGCGGATGTAGCTCAGCGGCACAGACCCTGTCTGGCAAGCACGAGGTTGTGAGTTTGATTCCCAGTACCGGAAAAAAAAAAAACCAAAAAAACAAACAACCCCCCCAAAAAAGGGGCTGGGGACTTAGCTCAGCGGCACAGCGCCTGCCTGGCAAGCGCAAGCTCGTGAGTTCGATTCCCGGTACCGGGGCGGGGGGGGGGGTGCGGGAAACTTGTCTCAAAATATAAAGGCCTAGTGTATAGAGGATAACGAGGGTGACCCAGTTTACTTTTTTGAATTATTTGATGCCATTGGGAAAATAGAGACTGGTCACGTGTGAGGGTGCACTGAGTACTTCACTCCAAGCCAAACTCCAGCAACTATGGCTGTGTCAGCTCCAGCTGGCAATATCCACAAAGATTTCAGGTCAAGTGTAACCTTCACATTTACCGGGTACTTGTGTATGCTGCACATTTTCCAAAAGTTCATTTCACCCATACAAGCATCCTGTGAGGTGGGTGAGTCTATTACACTGCTTTAATAAAGGAGGAAGCTGAGATTCAAAGGGGAAGTAATATGTCCCCGAATAAACAGCTGGAATTGTGCAGGCCAGTTCCATGAGGCTCTGGAGCACACGCCCTTTCTAGGAAGCACTGCCCTGCCAGCTCCTCTCTGAACCAGTGGCCAGGGTACAGCCTGTGTGTCTGCAGAGCTTTTGAGCTGGGAGCCTTGGCTTCAGGTACAACACAGAATCCCCTTACCTCAGGGAAAGAGGCTCCCTTCTCCCTCACAAGCAAGACTACATAGCACCAGGGATTTGCCACCTGCCACACAAGGTGTGTTCACAAATGTGCCAACCCATAGTCTTGGGTCAGCTTCCCTTCTTTTTCTTTTTCAAAAGAAATGTAATGAAGAACAAAATAAAGTAAAAGCCAGCTGGGCGTGATGGTGCACGTCTATAATCCCAGCACTTGGAAGGCTGAGGCAGGAGGATTGCCATGAGTTCAAGGCCAGCCAGGGCTACAAAGTGAGCTCAAGGTCAGCTTGAACTGCAAAGCGAGACCCTGTCTCAAAAAGATAAAATGAAATGAAATGAAATGAAATAAAATAAAATAAAATAAAAGATAGTAGGAAGTACAGAGATAGTTCTTTCTCAAATGGGAAGAAAAAGGGAATGAAGACGTATTATATACATGTACCAACTCCCTGCAAAAAATGTAAACATTACGTACTGCAAATGTGTACTAATAAAATAAAATTTCATGTTCAGTACCCCTGAAAAAAAGAAATGAAATGTAGGCACTACCCATAGGTCTGAAGGACGCAGTGCAGCCAGCTGCCTCCAGTCCCTTCTTATTCGTATCTCATCTGACCTGCACTTGTCTGGTGAACTGTGAAGTACAGCAGCTCTGCGGGGGTGGGACCTCCTTCCTGCCCAGCCTGAGCACGTAAGTCAGTGTCCACAGAACTCTAGGGGAGGGAGGGGGCAGGACAGAAAGGGGGACGATTAAGATCTTGACTGGCAAAGCGTCTTACACCCGGTGAAGCCGAACAATGCCAAGGGATTCCAGTGCCAGTTCTGTGGCCCGGTCCCTGCCACCTTCCTATGTGGCCAGTGGCCACCACGGTCAGCTCCAGCACCACCTGTCCAACCCACAGAGGCAGGGACAACATCAGAGACAACAATAGGAAAATAAAATCTATGAACAGCAGGCTCAGCTCTCTTTGAGAAAAGTATTCTGTGTAGAGTGTAAAGATGTCATTCACTTATTAGAAAGAAAAAGAACAAGGTTCTATGAAAATTTCTTTAATTTTATCATTGGAAATACATTTTCGTCCTTATTTCCACAATACAAAATGTTAAATATCTAACAATGATCTTTCCGGAGCAGATCTACTGAAGGAGATCCATGACTTTTTAAAATTTTTCAGCTGTTATGATGTGTTTACAGAAAGGGCTGATACATGTAGCTTTGTCATGATTTCACTCATATGCACGCATGTATGGACACATGCCACTGTACCCCAAACACACGCAGAGACATGTAATGGAAAGGACAACCAGGCGCCGACACGGCAAATTGACCACAGCATTCACGTAAGAACAGAAATCAATTTTTACCCAAATACCTCCCATGAAAAACTCACGTCTTAGGAAAAATAGCTCTACATAAATATGCCCCAAGGGCCAAGGCATACACTAAGACAGGGTCTGACACTGGTAGACGTCTTCCTGCTGGGAAGACAAGCCTGAACATGAACTACTTTCAGGCGGCTACGGTGGAAAGCACAGGGACACACCAGTTTCACACCGGGAGACTGTGACCACAACCAGCGGTGTCCCACAAGCTGAGCAGCACAGGAGGAATGAGCACCTCTTTATGCAGGAGAGTTCAACCCCAGATCCGTGATCACAGCGCCCATCACGTTGGCTCGTCTCGGTGTTCAGTTCACTTCTCAGGCACTTCTCAGGTGGGTTCTCAGACACTAATTCACGTCAGGATGGGTTTCACAGGAGCAACAATGATTACGGAGTTAATAACGTAGGTGTTCACGGCAGCCTACAAATGTGGTGTGTGTCAAGAGTTACTTTACATTTAAAAAGGAAAGAGAAACAGCCACAAAAATAAAAATTGGTCTTTTCGGGAGATGTCCTTGGTTTCAAAGCCCTCCCATACCACATTTGATTAAATTCAGTATGGCTTCCAAATGTGCTGGCTGGCTCTCTCACAGCGACAGCACCAGCAGTTTGCTTCCCTCTGGCCTTGGTTACCATGTGTCGGGAACTTCAAAGAGCTTGGCAGGGCTGACTGCGACGCTTCCTGGGGAGAAGGAGAAAGAAGCATGAACTACAAGAGGACAGCCCTGTGGGGAGAGCACATCAGGGCTGGCACGGAGACCGGCACCCTGTGCTACTGCAGACAGCTGCAGACAGACAGCAGGGAGAGGCCGGCTGCACAGCTGCCCACAGCTGGAAAACATTTGCAGATGGGCCCTGGCTGTGAAGACCAGTGCCCAGCAAATGAAAGCATCATAGGCAGTGTTAGTGTAGCGCCTCCCCAACCTGAGGTCTGGGCACCTCTATTTACTTACTTTACAAGACTTCATATGTAACCTTTACAGTATGGCTGCCCCTGCTCATACACGGCATTTTGCTAACAATCATGCTAGGTGCTTAATTCATGTAATCTTCATAACTATGGCCAACCCTGTTCCAGATGTACGAAGAGACTCAAAGAAGTGAGGGATGGGACGAGTCCCACACAGCTAGCCAGTGGTGAGGGGTGGCTGGATCCTCCCTCAGCACCACTGCCCTTGCCAAAGCCCAGGAACCTGGCTCTCTCCACAGTGCAGCGGCTGCACCTGCAGGGGAAACTCTAGGGACAGCCACAGGGTAGAAGAAAGGGCCAGTGAGGTTCCAGAGGTCCCAAGGTGGCAAAAGCAGCTATAGCTTTGTCCAATTTCAGCAACACTGGCTGAGCCCCCTCTGGGACTGAAGAGATCTTTTCCAGTATAGTTTCCCCCCAAGTCAGAATCCCTTCTTTTCCGCTCATGGATTCTGCCACAGCAGCAGCAGTGGCAACACAGTTGGGAAGAGAGGACATCTGGACTTCAGTAGGCAGAGACTCGGACTATCGCACTTGGGCTTCAGCACTGATGAGGCCTTTAGGCAGGCGGCAGGGAAAACCAGCAGCCTCCGTCCCAGCCGCTAATATGCCAAGGTTCCGAATGGCAGAAAAACCTTTGGTGATGTCTCATGCTACACACAGTACGACACCACTCAAGCAAAGGAAGTCGTTGCCCACAACAGAGATGCCTAAAGACACGAACGTCAGCTAACAGAATTTCCACTTCCTTCTGATAAGATCCAGAGAGTCAGGCTGAGGAAACAAGACAGGGACACAGCAGTGTTCTGTCCTGTGCCTCCTCACCATGTTGAACATGCATGTCCTGGACCCCAACAATGCCCACAAGACTACTTGTGAGAAGTGAAGATGAACAGAGAGATCACCCACAGAGAAAGACTCACACGAGCTGGTTAGAAAGGGAATCAGGATGTTTGTTTAAAAATATCCCTGTCAGGGTCTTGTGGTGATGCACACCTGTAATCCTAGCACTTAGGAGGCTGAGGCAGGAGAATCCCAAGTTCTAGATCAGCCAAGGATATAGCAAGTTTAAGGCCAGTCTGAACTACACAGGGAGATCCTGTCACTTCTAAAACAAAAATGATAGAAGCTACAAAGCTGAATATGAAGAACTGAAGTTAAAACCAGCTGAGAATAAAAAAGAAGGTAAACTGCTAAAAGCAACTATACTGCAAAAGCTGGCAATTTGCACCTGCCCTTAGCTGAGGTATGTGTGAACATGGCTGTGAGGCACGGTTCCCACAGGAAGTTTGGACTCCCTGAGGAGTTGGTCAAAAGTAATGGAATAAGCAAAAACTTTGGAGTAAGTAAGAGCTTGCTACTTTTGCTAGCTGGATGACTGAGCAAGTTTCACTGGCTCATCTATAAAACGGACCTCGCGTCACCTTATGCTGTGCAGGATCCTGTGAGACAGCAAAGTTCCTGGGAAGGGTTTAACGAATATTAGGATCCTTCCCTTTATCAGTGATGTGCCTGACACTCAATGTGGCTGTCTCCCAGGAAGCCAACAGCACACAGTTAAAAACATTCTAGTTTTCTGTCTAGAAGTACAGCTGCTGAGCAAGAATTATGTGTACAAAGGGACCAAAACTTGGGACACTGAGCAGAGAGAGGTAAAAGTCATGGCAAGGGCTCTTTCCTGCACATTCCAAAGGGAGGGTGGTAGTCAGTCTCAAAGTCAGTGCCTAAGGAGCTGTGGTCAGCTTTCCAGAAGTCATTTTCACAGTCCTGTTTTATTATAGAGCCAAAGAATCATTTAGTAACGATTTTTCTTTTAGACAGATACTTAAGGACATCTGTCTCCTGGTAGCTCAAAAAACCAAGTCAAAACAAAACAAAAAATGTTTATAGGAACTTGAGCCTCAACTGCCGAAAACTGGCAACAATCTAAATGTCCTTCAATTGGGGAATGGATAAATAGCCATACATCCTTAAAATGGAATGCTAGTCAGTAACAAAAATGAATGAACTCAAGACTCATATAGTAACATGAAAGAAGTTAAATGGAAGAATCAAAGGGCTACCTATTGTAGGATTCCATTTATAAGACATTCTGGAAAAGGCAAAATTACAGTGATCGTAAACCAGTCAATGCCAGGATTGACAGGCCCACAGAAGGGACTGAGAACAAAGGGACATGAGAACGTTTTCTGGGATGTTCTATATCTCCCATCACTGCAGGGGTGACATGACTGCACACATTTGTACAAACTCACCAAACTGTACACCTAAAAGTGATGGCTGTTATTATAGGCACATGAACGTGCTAAAACAAACTCTGTGAGAAACACTGGGAACAATGTTTAAAAATTCTAGGCAGGTGTGGTGGTGGCACCTGTAGTCCTGGCTATTTGCGAGATTGAGGCAGAAGGTTTACCAGAGCCCACGGGTCAGAAACCCATCTGGGTAATACAGCGAGACCCAGTCCAAAAAAGAGAAGGAAATTCAATACAAATTTAATATGAACTACTATGCTGACAATTCAGATTATTTGACAAGAATGCAGGGAAAACAGGCTGCATGCTGTAGACACACAGGATGGTGCAGCACCAAGCAAAAGGCAGAGTACAAACCCTTGGCTCCAGAAGGACCCTTGGGGCAGCCACACAAAGGTTTTCCACTAGGAAATGCACGTGAGACTCCCCACTCTGAGGAGGCAGGGGGCTGACAGGAACCTCCAGGAGCTGCCCGAGGAACAAGGATGTGGATATGCACTTTAGTGCTACCCCCAAGCCCAGTACTGTCTCCTGTGCCACACTGTAACAAAGTTACTAAAAGGCTTCTCAGGAGGTTGCTGGACATGTTTAGCTTGGTCACTCAGGTGGTCTTCAGCGGCAGCTGTGTGTCTCTTTTCTGACCTGCTACAGCATGAGGTGACTGCCCTCTAGGAATGCAGATTCTACATTTGCATACCATTCCCCTAAGGGTTTAATCTTAAATTCAGCAGACTTGTCAAGACTCCAAATCACTCATGGTTCTTGGCAAACATGTAAAGGTCTAATGTGCTGTGTTTTTTGAGACAAAGTTTCACTGTGTGGCCTAGGCTGGCCTCGAACTCACAGCAATCCTCCTGCCTCAGCCTCTTGAGTGCTAGGGTTACAGGCATGCACCACTATGCCAGCTATGCTATGTTTTAAAAGAACAGAGGAAGGTTGGGCATGGTGGTATACACCTATAATCCCAGCACTTGGGAGGCTAAGGTAGGAAGATCACAGGTTCAAGGCCAGCCTGGGCTACCCAGTAAATTCAAGGCCAGCCTGGACTACAAAGTGAGGCCCTATCTCAAAAAAGCAAATGAACAAACAAACACAAAAACAAAACAAAAAAAACACTGTAAAAAAATAAAGGACAGGGGACAAGACTTGGTTTGTTGTCTCTATTTGCAGGGCAAGAAATGTCTATGAACATCACTGTCTCTTCTTCCGGACCTAACTAGCAGCTGCGGGAGCCTTCAGCCACATCCACAGTGTTTTAAGAATGATTAGCACAGGCAGCATGAGCCCCCATGGGGTAGGTAGGCTGTAATTTCTCAGAGAGGTGAGGGTAAGGCTGGGGCTGGGGTTTCTCAGGCCCCTGGAATTCCACCTTCAGCTAGAACTGGTGTATTACAGAAACTCATCAACTAAGGTTGACCTGGGAAAAGGACCACAATTCCTGAAGACTATCCCAGCATAAATGGCATGCAGTAGCTGTCACCACTTCCAGTCACCAATAATCATAATACACATACGTGGAGACGTGCACCGTACATTTGCATCTTGAAAACAGGAGAGAAACAACATAATAGAAAAAAAATGTTTGCTGAGCACAGTGTGTCCACAAAGTAGATGCCTCTAAGGAGAGTGACAACTTTGTATTAGGGATTGAACCCATGGAGTGCTAAGCTATATCCTTAGCATTTTTATTTTAATTTGTTTTATTTTATTTTGAGACAAGGTCTCACTAAGTTGCTCCAGCTGCCTCAAACCTGCAGTCTTTCTACTTCAGACTCAGGGTAGCAAGGATTACAGGCATGTGCCACCATGTCAGGCTTGCTAAATGATTTTATCACATGAAAGTTCAGATGGCTTTGTTTCTGATCTAGAACAGCTGTGAAAAATGCCTCTGAAGAATCCCTGGCTTCCTTGAGAGTCTGGATAAATCTCACTACTGCAGAATGGCACAGACTGAAGCTCTGGAGCCAGAGGCCCCCAAACTCACCAGCTCTTGCCTCTGATTTTTCAGGACTTAACTATGGGCTTCAGTTTCCTTTCTGCAGCTGGGAACACCTATGCCTCACTATGTTTTAGGGTAACCCAAAATAATAAAAGCACATTATATGTACACAACATCAACCTAATTGCAAGGTGTGAGGGCACATGCCTATTGTCCCAGCACTCAGGAGGGTGAGGCAGGAGGATGGCAATGAGTTTGAGGCTAGCCTGGGCTACAGAGTAAGTTCAAGGCCAGCCTCAACTGCACAGAGACTGGGTCTCAAAAAAAGTCTACCTCTGTATCTCCAATAAGTATTCGCTTCTGCTATTTAGGTCATTTTGTTATTTGTGAAAGGGTCTAGTATTTAACTTTTAGTGAACCTTAGAAATTAAAATGTCTCACTAAGTCAATAACACTGTGTTTTGTGGCATTTGTCGAACAGCAGTCGTGCTAGGGCTGCTATAACACACCATCTTCCATCCATGTCCTCGATTTTACTACTTCCTCCTTGGGAAACAGAACATCCCCACGAGTGAGCCCTGCCTGCCACGTCTCTCATGCCCTCGAGCCCAGCGCCTGCAAAAACCAGCTGAATACTTGTCAAGATGCTCTCTGAGAACCAGAGCTCAGAGCCAAGGCCTCAGAACTGCTTCTAGCTAGACTGGCCAAGCTACACTCCAGCAGTTCTGTCACCAGTGGAACCAGGCCTTCTTGATTCTGGTCCACTTCAAATACCTCAGAGAGTTCAACACAATCCCTTGACAGGGTTGGAACTCTGCACTCACTCTCACTGTAGGTCTTTTTCTCCGTTTTTTCTTTTCTTTTCTTTCTTTTTTTTTTGAGACAGGCTCTCACTATATGGTGCAGGCTGGCTTTGAACCCGCTTATGTAGTCCAGGAAGGCCTCAAACTCATGGTGATCCTCCTGCCTCAACCTCCTGAGTGCTGGGATTACAGGTGTGTGTCACCACAGCCAGCTATAGGTCCCTTTTCAAGAAAAAGAGCAGGCAAAATTGGCAGATTCCACAGGTCCAGCACCTGGTATCTTGACCTACATCCTACGGACATTAATAGGATTAAATGCTGAAAACAAACTGAGAGAAAAGCTTCTGCCTTCTGCTGTCAGAAGGTCTCATTCAGCAAATAGTGTCCCAGAATAAAGCTTGACTCTCTCAGGTTCTCTGATTCAATTAAAGTTGTCAAGATGTCTTTTTCTCTTTCCTCTCTCTCTCTTTTTCAGCAGTACAAAATCTACAATTTTTTTTTAGCTCTAATCTTTTTGGCAGTGACATCTTTACTGTCAATGGGAGGTTAAAAAAAAAAAAACCTACTTTATTTCAGTATTATAAGTTCAAAACCCTAAATAACTTATAGAAAGTTTTCATTTAAAATGATGAAAACTATAAAAGAAATCAATCTATCAATGCAGTCTATTATTAGGTATTTTAATTTCAATACAGATTATAGTGATACAGAAGGAGAAAAACCAAAAAGCTTGTCTCTGAGGAGAGATAAACTGAACAATATGGAGGAGACTGAGGAGCTGGGGTAGAGATCAGTGGTAGAGAGCTTGCCTGGCACACACCAGGCCCTGAGTTCCATCCCCGGCTCTGCAAACAGGAGACTGAGATACAAGAGGGACCTGTGCTCAGCATGATCTCTAACAGGCAGCTCACATTTCCTATTTAGCATTTTTTTTTAAGCATGTGCAGCACGACAGTGGTACCAGTGTACCAAGTTTGAAAGCTATGGAGGTTACAGCTTCAAAACTTCTCCAAAGTTTAATTTAAGGGAAGGAAGGGAGGCAGGTAAAGGGAGATGCCCAGATTCAGGGGGAATGGCTGAAATATACAACCAAAGCTTCGAACAAGAGTTTAGATTTTCTGTTAAATTTAAGCTCTGGTATGATGTATAAAAAGCACCCACAACATTTTGGTTGCTTCTGTGATTTCATTAATATCAATGAGATTCAGAAAATTCCCCGCAGTCAGATCGGGCCACACGTAAAAAAGGAATTAATTAAAACAAAGGGAGTTCTTAGCTTGGGTATGAGTCAAGATCCACTGCCTGACTACTGCCTTCGAGTTGACTGTTAGCTCTGCTAACTGGGGTAACTGTCACCGTGTAAGACGAAGGAGAATGATAACTGTGTGTAGGCCGGTGCCTCTCCTATCCTGAGCACACAACACATGACCATGGGCGAAGGCACGGGCCTCCTTGTTGGACACACTTAAGGGCTCTGTGACCCTGGCCAAGTCACATGACGCTTTGGGCCTCCCTTTTTCTTCAGCTATAAAATGAAAGTGATGAGTACCTCAGAGTTAAAATTTCTGTCAAGCATTCAGGGTTGTCCTGCACTCATAACAAGTCCTCAGTAAGCGGCGGCTACACTTACCATCATTGTGACCGCAGCCTGACCAAGCCATGGCCAGATGTGCCTCAGAGCAGGGAGTGGCCTTTTCGATACTCTGACCAACAGGAGCGGCCTGGGCGGTGCGGGAGCTGCCCCAGGCATGTTTGGCCCTGACCCTGAGGCATGCTGTGGGCTCAGGCAGGTCTGCTGACTCCTTCGGCTCTGCTGCTTACCAGCTGCACAGGCCTGATGCTTTTCTAACCCTTCTGAGCCAGGCACCTGCATCACTGCGGCAGGGACGACTAGCCTTCACTTCAGGGCTGTTGTGAAAACCAAGTGAAACAAGGGGAGAAAAGGCTCCTTCTACACTGCGTCTGGCATGCAGTAGGCTTGCAACATGCGCTAATTTCCTGTTTCCTTGGCTTCTTACATAATTCTGCTTATGAGAGAAATCCAGGTTGCCCAGGGTGTTGCTGGGAACAGTGTAAACTCTGCTACTGAAAATAACGTGTAGCAGTAAGGTTTCTGTGAAAATTTAAATGCACATTTTAAAATTCTGAGGCTACTTTAAACACATCATCAAAATCTCTAAACCACGGAGAAGAGACAGATTACCAAAAGAGCTAACCATCTTTAATGAGGAGATCTCACCAGATCGGATGCTACGATAGCCTGGGACTTTTAGGGTTCCTCAAATTAAGATACAAAAATATCTGACCAGGTGAGACAACATGGGCTTTGTCAGCAAGGCAAGCTTTGCTATTATTTCTCCCCCAAAGTACGTTTCTAGAGCATTTAGGGAGAGCACAACCCCAGGATTTTAGTAAGATCCAATACAAACCTGCTGAAGTAAGGTCTTTCTTCATTCTTTTTAATTTCTTGGCCTTTTTCCTTCCCTCTGAGAAGGATTCTGCACAGGAATCCATCTGCTCAAGCTCAGAGTCAGAAATCTTCCCCGATATACTGTCCTCTGAGCCAGCTTCTGGACTAGGGCTCAAATTTCTCTTTCTGACTGTACCCGTGGTTGTAAAGCTGAAATGCAAAATGTGGAACAAGACAGAAGGTATTCAGTAAGAGGAGAAGAAAGACCAGCCTGTAAAAACATTTTAATGCTCTTAATTCTATTAACATTTCACCACCAATTAACAACAGAGGCAGTTGTTGCCTGTAGAGAAAAATTAAAAGTCCTACTTAGGAGCTGAGGTCTAAAAGTTTACCCATGACAAACATACTCAGAAGGAAGTTCTATATTAGGCTTGTGTAGAGATATACAAAAATCTGAGTTGGTCTTTGTATTAAGAGCAAAATTTTACAGAACATTCCCAGTCTCTACTTTGAGAAAGCTACTGTAACAGAAGAACAGAGCTACTATAACAAAATAATAGTTTTGGTTACATCAGAATGTAGCACAATTACTTTCAGACCTAATAACAGATATAGAGCACAACTGTATCTTGCACTATTTAAAACTTGAACAGCGCTGAGCGTGGGGCATATGTCTGTAACCCTAGCCCTTGGGAGGCTGAGGCAGGAGGACTGCCACAAGGCCGAGGCCAGCCTGGGCTACATAATGAGTTCAAAGCTAGCTTGCATGACTAGTGAAATGCTACATCAAAAGAACCCAAAAGGGCTGGGGACATAGCTCTGTGGCACAAGCGCTCGCCTACCAAGTTCAAGGTCCTGAGTCTGATTCCCAGTTAAAAAAACAAAAAACAAAAACTTGAACAGTTACACTGGCTGGGCGTGGTGGCACATGCCTCTAATCCCAGCACTCAGGAGGCTGAGGTAGGAGGATCACTGTGAGTTCAAGACCAGCCTGAACTACAGTGAGACCTTGTCTCAAAAAATCAAAACCCAAACCAAACCAAAAACAGAAAAAGCTTGAACAGTTACAGAATATATCTGGCCTTTGTGCAATTTTTTTCCAAAAATGTGACGTTAAATTTATAATTAAACCTGGTTTCATTTTTAAAGCTTTACAGGATTTGACATGTTGAGTTAAATCACATTATGTGTCCTGATTTTTTCCTTAAGAAAGTATGTTCCTTGAAATATAATTTGATAAAATAACAAAAACACATGGCCAGTGAGTCCTACCTCCCCTAAATGGGTCTTACAAATAGATTTTTTTTATTATAAAAAGCATTAAAAAAAATTAAGGCATTCCATTTAAGGGAGACCATTCAAGCAAAGACGAGAGAGAGAAAAAAGAAAACAATGTTGCATACTCCTCTTAGCTTTCTCTAGGAAGCGAATCGCTAAAATTGTTCCCAATAAAAACTCTGGCTACCCAATTATTCAAGCTCCCCCATGTTGCTCCTCTGCTTACATCTCTGCACTTGACAGTCGCTCTTGACAGTTCACCTGCATGAAGGATAAACTGCTTCCCTGGTGGTTTTTACCAGTCACGGGAAGCAGAAAAGATTTAAGCACTTGGCTTATTCTGGCTCACATCTCTTAACAGAGCTTCTGGAAACACCCATTTCATTGAAGGACCGTGAAGAAAAGAGGGGTATCAACGGCCACACCGGGGGAGGGGATTGTTAAAATTCTGTGCTTAAGTTTCCTGCTTAAAAACTGATAAAACCTTCAAAAATTTTTAAGAGATTAAACAGTTTGGATGATTTCAGAAAACTCAGAAAGTATAAGATATAGTAAGAAACTATTATTCCACTGCAAAAGAAGAGGCCTAAAAAATTCCTTTGGACTATAAATTTTGGAACATAGTGGCTGCTGGGAATAACTGTTTAATGAAAATTAAGAATCCAAAGAATGTAATCATTACGTACTGCAAACACGTACTAATAAAAATAGAAAAGTTTTAAAAACTCAGATTTGTTAGCATTAAAAATATTTCATGAAATACAAGAGTAGAAATAGCCCCAGGTACATATAGAAATACAGTGAATGAAAGGTGGTATCTTAAGTTACTGGGAGGGGGCAAAGATGTGCTTTTAGAAAATGCTTTTGGACCTGTTCTTCACACTATACAGAAGACTCAAGAGGCCAATGGATCGCATATCTAAATATGAAAAATGTAACTATGCAAGTGCTAGGAGAAAATTCGGGTGAATTTTTCCAACCTAGGTGTATAAAGTTTTTTTTTTTTTACTATGAGTCACAACCTAGAGACAACAAAAAGATTTATAAATATGTCTTTTACATGGTAGCAAAAAGAGCAAAGTCAAAAAGTAAATGACAAACCAGGAAGAAACAATGGCAGCTTATGTCACAGATAAAGGGCTGATGTATCTAACATAAGTAACTCAAAACTGAAGACACTAAAAATCCCATAGAAAAACAACAAAGGTATAAAGAACACACATTGAACACGTAAAGAGATGTTCAATTCCATTCATAATGCAAAATAAAGTGACACTGAAATATGGTTTCCTCACCTACTAGATTAGCAAAAATATCTAAGAGCTTGCTAATATATTCTGTTGGTAAGACTGCAGAAATGGGTACTTCACATAGTGGTGATAAGAAAGCAAAGGACATAGTTTGCTCTTATACAAGGGAATGAGATAATACCTAACAGATACACCTGCACATGGTTTGAGCCTGCAATTAATTCTACTTCTAGGAGTTTAAAAGATACATCTCTAACAATCAATGTGAAAATGCAAATGTATAAAGTTATTCATTTCAGAGTAACTGCAAAATATTGCAAAATGACTGAATGTCTAAGCATAGGAATTTGGGTGGGTATACTACAGTACCTATACATACAATCAATGAAGTATAAGGCAGTTACAAAAAAAGAATGAAGAACCTGAACTGAGAAGGAGTACGGACTGATTTCCAGTAAAAATGATGTGAAAGACAATATGCAAAAGACCAACTTATGAATCTGTTATTTCTAGTCTTGAGAGAGCTGCAAGAGAACTAGGGGAAAAAAGTCCTGAATGCTTAGATTTGCTTCTATAGTAGAATGAATGAAGCAACGGTGAAAGAGATGCACTAGCCTACTGAGCAAACCAATTACGTGTGTCGACATCCAGGCTATGGAATGGGGGAGGGTGAGTGGGAAATTTGAAGGGGTGACTACAGTGGGAGGTATGGGTTTGTGATTTTTGTGTGTGTATGTGTGTTCATACTGACACATACACACACATCTGTGTACACATGTGTGTCTGGGTATATATCTGCACACATATCTCCCAGCTGGTCCACTGAGAGAACCTAGAAGGGACTCCCTAGTAGCAATGGGCACATCTAGTGCTCAGATCTTAGTTTCTACAACTATTCCTCATTATAAGGAACCAGGGCTCCTTGAGAAAGTGGCTGATTCCAGGGTTAGGTAGAGAAATTACAAAATGAACCTGAAATGTAATAACAGAAATAAATTGCTCAAAAAAGATGGGGAACATGACAGGGACAAAGGACCTAGCTTGAAAGAGCTCCCACTGGTCAAATCTGGGACAAGTTTGAGCACTAAATAATTAAAGGGCAGCGATCAATCCTAAAGCACTGTGAAAAAATAGGAATACATGTGTCTTTATCAATATACATGGAGGGAGGGAGAGAGGGAGGGAGGGAGGAAGGGAGAGAAGGAGGGAAGCAGGGAAGGAGGGAGGGAAAAGAGAGAAAGTGCACACCAATGGATGTGTGACTTACACATGATTAATACAAACACTATCTGCCTATCAAAACAAAGCAGAAGCTGTCTTGAGGGTTCATTTTCATCTTTCTTCAATTGCTGAGGCTCACAGGCTTGGACAGGGTGGGACTTCACCCCTCAGTACGAGTCTTTGCTCCCCCAGTGGCTCCATCCTGCATTTCACCAATAATATTCCACCAGCACAATGAGCACCTCCTAGAGGCCATCTCTGAACACCTGCATTTCTATCTCACTCCCACCTGCTACTACCTGCTCTACCTCACCTGAGCCACTGTGGGCTCCGCTACCTTGCCCTTTGATTTTTACAATAGGGCTCCAACTGGCCAGTCTCCCTCTTGCCTCCTTTTTCCAGCCTTCTTTTTCCTTCAAATTCACTCCTTCCAACACTGCAAAGGTTCTTCTGCGGCAGAGATCTGATCAAGATATTTCCAGCTCAAAAGCATCTAAGGTCTCCATTATATACCTAAACTTAAATTGCGCGGCACAGCTTCCAAGATCTTCTCTCAGCTCAGTTGGAATCTCTGCTTTCTGAGCCTTCTCTTCCATGAGGCACCAACCTGGGCTTACCTAAATGCATTCCATTCTACACTCCCTCCCATATGTCTACAGTCCTATCGGCCCAAATGCATCCTACACTTCCTGTTTCAGTGTCACTATTCATGCGAAGACACTATTACCTCACTCCTCCTGCTCAAACACATCTTCCAAGAACATTCCCTAATCACTGTTTAATATTTCTCCCTTTCTATGCTTCCCATAATGCACTGCTTATCTCACGGGAAATTCATTCTTTTTATTTATAACAGCCAGGGACCACTGCAGATGTCCATTAAAAGAAGAATGGATAAACAAAGCAAAGTATATTTATTTACACAATGAAATACGATTCAGCAATGAAAAAAATAAGGAATTAGGGACAAGTTTGATACATCCACCAACATAGTTAAACTGCAAAAATATTTTGCTAAGTCAATGAAGTCTTTAGAGAAAAGAGTGGGTACTGTGTAATTCCATTTTTATGAAATTCCAGAAATGGCCAAACTAATCTAAGGAGAAAAATTTTCAGAAGAATGATGGGGGTGGAAGGGTAGGCAGGTCTGAAGGAACTTTCTGGCATGATGTTAATCCTTTGTATCTTTACAAGAGGCTGCTTTTGACAAATTCATACCTCAACATTAGGCGGAAAGCCAGGGATATGGCTGAGAGTTTATACCTAGCATATGCCAACATGTCAGGTCCTGGGTTCAATCCCTAGCACCACCACCAAAAAAAGGAGATAACTGATTGCTTTGATTTGAGCACTAACTACAAATGCTGATTTTGTAGGTACTTTCTAGAATACTAAGTTTTCATCCTAACCACAGATTTTTGTGGTGTTTTGGTTAATAAGGCCCCTGCCTCTGTAATG